AAAGGGGTACACTCATCCATTGCTGGTGGGAATGCAAACTTGTGCAACCACTCTGGAAAGCAGTGTGGAGGTTTCTCAGGAAATTTGGGATCAACCTACCCATGGACCCAGCAATACCACTCTTGGGAATATACCCAAGAGAGGCCTTATCACACAACAAAAGTATATGCTCTACTATGTTTATAGCAGCATTGTTTGTAATAGCCAGAACCTGGAAACAACCTAGATGCCCTTCAATTGAAGAATGGATGAAGAAAGTATGGAATATATACATATTAGAGTACTACTCAGCAGTAAAAAACAAGGACTTCTTGAAGTTTGCAGGCAAATGGATGGAAATAGAAAACACCATCCTGAGTGAGGTAAGCCAGACCCAAAAAGAGGAACATGGGATGTTCTCACTCATATTTGGTTTCTAGCCATAAATAAAGGACATTGAACCTATAATTCGGGTTCTTAGAGAAGCTAAATAAGAAGGAGAACCCAAAGAAAATCATATAGGCATCCTCCTGAATATTAAACTTCATCAGGCGATGAAAGGAGACAGAGACAGAGACCCACATTGGAGCACCGGACTGAAATCTCAAGGTCCAAATCAGGAGCAGAAGGAGAGAGAGCACAAGCAAGGAACTCAGGACCGCGAGGGGTGCACCCATACACTGAGACAATGGGGATGTTCTATCAGGAACTCACCAAGGCCAGCTGGCCTGGGTCTGAAAAAGCCTGGGTCAAAACTGGTCTCGCTGAACATAGCGGACAAGGAGGACTACTGAGACCTCAAGAACAATGGCAACGGGTTTTTGATTCTACTGGACCTATTGGTTTCGTGGGAGCCTAGGCAGTTTCGTGGATGCTCACCTTACTAGACCTGGATGGAGGTGGGTGGTCCTTGGACTTCCCACAGGGCAGAGAACCCTGATTGCTTTTTGGGCTGACGAGGGAGGGGGACTTGATTGGGGGAGGGGGAGGGAAAGGGGAGGCGGCGGTGGGGAAGAGACAGAAATCTTTAATAAATAAATAAAAATAAATAAAATAAAAAAAGATGTTAGATAGTCACATGGCCTCAAAGTGTCAGTTTTCTCATACAGTTGTGGCAATTGTATATATTGGTGTGATGTATATGAAACATTTATTGCTGCTGCCATATGGATAATAGGTATTTAATAAACATTAATTTACTAAATAAAAAAATAGAAAGTTGGGAGAGGTTATGGTTAAGGGAGTAGATCCAAAAGGAGTTAAAACAAGGAGTTGGGGATAAGAATGATGAAAATGCATTGCAAGCAAATATGAAAGAATGAATAATATATTACAATTTTTTAAGTGGCCAGTTCAATACTTCCAACAGCAACTCCAGCGTCATCAATGTCCTGAGATCATTTCACATTCCTTCTTCCCATCCTTAGCAAATCACCTATGATCTAATACAGTGGCTGATTGAGCTGTCATATTTACATAACAGGAAGTGAGGAAGAAATGAAGTACAGACATGTACTACTGCATCAGCTCTGCTTTAAGAAACTTCTTATACATGTAAACTTCTTAGAACAGGTATTAGCACAAGACTATGCCCAGCTCCAAAAGAAGCTTGAACACACAAAAATTTAGTGTCTTGCTGTTACAAATTGGGGTTCTGCTAAAAAGAAACACACACACCCCCAAAGCTAGAAGCACTGGGGAAAAATTAGTGGCAATGTTTAGCAATTCAGACCTAAAATTACAGCGATCAGGAATAAAATGATACTGATGTAAGTGTACATATACAAACACCAAGTGAGGCTTGAGACAGCAGGAATCACTGGTGGTTATGGTAAAACAAAGCATGAAGTCTATCATTAGGTTCACTACTAGAAACGGGCAATTACAGTAAGTAAGGTAGGGAAGTCCTTCCCACTTTGATTCTCCATGTGATCCAAACACAAGTCTGGAATAAATGACATGCTCTCTTTTAAACATGTGGATGTACATGTGTGAGAATGTGTGGGCATGTTCGTGTAGAGGTCGTCAACCTTGGTTGCTATTCTCAGAAATGCTATGTAGCTTCATTTGAGATCGGGTGGCTCTTGCCCTGGAGCTCACCAATTAGGCTATACTGGCTGACCAGTGAGCCCCAGGGATCTCCCTGTGTGTGTCTCCCTGGCACTGGGCTTACAAGTGCATGTCAGTACACCTGACGTTTTCATGTGAGTTCTGGAATTGAACCTGGGTTCTTGTCTGCACAGCAAATATTTTACTGACTTGTAATACTTAACACACCTCAAAAAATGGCATGTTCTGAATCCTCTGCACAGGTCACCTCTAATAACTACTCACTCCTCACTGTACATCTCTGCTTGTATCTATCAACTGCTTTAGCTAGAACTAGAAACTTGAATCTGTCGTATTTACTCCACTTGTTATTTTCCTTTCAGTAATATTGCTGCCATTAATGGTTTTCTTCACTTTTTCTGACATCTGTGAGAATTCCTAGGCCACTTAATAAGCATTCAAAAATTATCTGTTGAGCAAAATTTGGTCTTTGTCTTTTCATTGTTTTCCTTATTTCTAGATCTACAATTAGTGTCTTTATGATAAAAAAAAATCTCAGCTTCTCTGGAGGCAACTCCCTTCCCTACAAAGAACTCTTGTAAGCTAAGTGTCCAAAGGCTGATATCCGCTTCCTGTTCTCCCATTCCCCAGAATGAGAGTGTCCTCCCAAATACCGCTCATCGATTCTACACAACTCAAGAGTGAAATATTGTCTAATCTAAAACGATCATGGGAAACCATGAGTGAGGGGAAAGTGGGTTGGTTACTTGCATCTCTGAACTCATAGAGAAAAGCTGTAAACTTGCTGCACAGGGTCCTTCCTTTCTCCTGCCCTTTGATGCCCATCTGAGGCCTCTTCCTTCATATCTTGTCTTTTCAACACTATTTCTTGGTTAAACATTCCTAAGAAATAAGCGTATATCCAGAGACCAAACTTATAAATCCAAGACTTGAATAGGAAATAGTCTTTCAAATGGTTGTGTCAACAAAAGGCTAAGGCCCTTGAGAAGCTCCGCCATAATTCAGATTCTGTGGGAATGGTGCCCATTTAAAGCTTAGCAAGGAAAACTTTTGAGATGCAGTTCTAAGTCTCTAATTTTACTTTGTCATTGCCAGTCTTCAGGTTATACTGATTTATTGACATTCCTTAACTACTAAGTCATTTACATACACACACACATACATATCCCTATAGCCACTAAGCCACATATATACATACAATACATTAAACCATATTACATATATACATACATAATACTTCCATAGCCACAAAGCTACATGCCTACACTTAATTACACACACACACACACACACACACACACACACACACCACAGCCACTAGGTCACATACATAATATTCCCCATAGTCACTAAGTCACATACATACATGCATACATAACCCAATAGCCACTGATCTACATACATGCATGCATACATACTACATTCATACATGTATACACAAATAGAAAGAAAGAAAGAAAGAAAGAAAGAAAGAAAGAAAGAAAGAAAGAAAGGAAGGAAGAGGAAGGGAGGAAGGGGAGGGAGATGGAGGGAGGAAGGGAGGGAGGAAGGAAGGAAGGAAGGAAGGAAGGAAGGAAGGAAGGAAGGAAGGAAAAAAGAGGGAAGGGAGGGAGCAAAGGAGGGAGGGAGGGAGGAAGGAAGGAAGGATGGAAAGAAAGAAAGAAAGAAAGAAAGAAAGAAAGAAAGAAAGAAAGAAAGAAAGAAAGAAAGAAAGAAAGCACAAAACAGGCAAAAACTTAATATGACAGACATTCCACCTCTTAAAAAACACTAATTCACTGACGGGACAGAATTCTTCTTGCCTGGGAACAAAGGAAAAATAAAAGCAGCTTCCAGAATAAAGAATGTCACAATAACTGGCCAGAAAATCTTGATTCAGTCTACAAGAAACAGGTATCATAGCCAGACCGTGGTGGCACATGACTTTAATCCCAACACTCGGGAGGCAGAAGCAGGAGGATCTCTGTGAGTTTGAGACCGGCCTGGTGTACAAGAGCTAGTTCCAAGACAGGCTCCAAGACTACAGAGAAACCCTGTCTCAAAAAAAGGAAGGAAGGAAGGAAGGAAGGAAGGAAGGAAGGAAGGAAGGAAGGAAGGAAGGAAGGAAGGAAGTTAAGGAAGGAAGGACGAGATATCAAAAGTACTTTAGCTAATCCTCTTCCAAATGTTTGGGTGTGTAGAGACGTTCTTACTGTAACAAGAGTGCATACAAGTGTTGTTTACGGCATCTATAGTAGCTACTGGTGTCAAGTTTTAGAGGCATCCATAACTAAGCCTTTCTCCCACACAGTTTCCACCTGACAATGAGCAAAGGCACTTTCATAACTATTTCTTATTATCAGCCCATGAAGTAGGAAGTGTGATTTATTATCATGTCACAGATACAAAACTAAATGCACAAAGAGGTGAAGTGACTGACTTAGCCACATGGTAGATGAGCTGAAATTCGAATTCTCAGGCTCCTCCAACTTCCTCTACCCTAGAGCTATGTGGATGGTTTTGCACTAAGGAGGCCTATTTATATGACTTTCCATGGGACCAAGAAGACAAAACCACAACAGGGTAAACGCAGGAAGACATTGCTTTCTTGGCAGAGGATTTCAAAGGCAGCAGCATTAACCAATTTCAAGGCATTTTGCTATATTGTGGGGTTTGCCCTGGATAAGCATGACTACAAAGGGCTGGGGCAAGACAGCTGCTCCTGGAGAACACTATTAACTCTCTTGTTTTTGAAAAAAAAAATAAAATAATTAAGCTCCGAGCTTTAAGAGAGCGGAAAAGAACGGCCTTTAGCTTTGAACTCCTCCGACCATCTCTTACTTTTCATTTTAAAAGACGTTTCAATCTGGTTTCAAAATAAACTGTCAATCAAACGCTAAAACTTCTCCAGAACCTTCCCCCTCCCTTTTCACTCCCTCCGAGTGACCACAGGCTGTTCAAACTCCACAGACCTTTAAGGTGCAGCGAATTCAGGAGGCTTGTGTTCGCATCCAGCAGGAGCAGCTGGCCGGTCTCCACCGTGACGCTGTCGCCATCTTGTGGCACTCTATGGGGAAACCAACTGTGAGGTCTGGACCACCTCCGACAGAACTGGAACGAAAAGTTGCACTGGAAGAGAGAATGATTCGGCTTGTTTCTGAAGCAGGATGGCACAGCGAGCAATGGAAAATGGTAAATGCTCCGGGAAATATTAGTCTCTCTCTTTTCCTTGAACAACTAACCCAAACAGAAGAAAAATATAAAAAGGATATACGCTACACCTCTGTGCTCAGCTCCTAATTTTTTTTCTATTTTTTTTTTTCTCTGCGCAGACTCTCTTGAACCTAACAGGCAGGGCTGATTCCATGCCTTACTTTTACAGACCTGTATTGAATCTTACACAAAAATGTCATGAATAATCTGGACTAGAGAGAATTAAAATATTCTTCTTGATGGGTGGCATTTTGCTTGATGTAATTGGTTTGGTTTTCCCTGACTCTGCCACCAAGTGTCCCTGTTTCATGGGAACCTTCCTCCTCTGGAGGGCACAGATCTACCATTCCGCACGGCCCTGTCCTCTCAGAAAGCAAGTTGTGTTGAACAAAGCCGAAGCCGGCACCAGTGAAAGGCAGGCCGACTTCAGATGACAAATGAACAGCCCGGTGGTTTATGTGAAGGGCAGAGGGCAGGACTGAGAAGGGTCAGCCTCTCATCTCCTGAGTTGTACTCACAGAACTTCCAGTTTTCCTGTTCCTTCATGGTCACTCTAAAGCCACGGGCTTTAAAAAGCAGAGACATAAAAGTCACCACACATGTGAGACTCAGCACGTGGTTTATGAAGTTCTCAAACTAACAAGAAGGAAAATATTTAAAACTCAGAATAGGAAATATGGTTTCCTCAAGGAAAAGCATCAGCAGAACTGTCATACTGACACTCCAACCAAATGTCTGAAGTGTCCACACATATGCACCAAAGAAGTCCCCTTGTGACATGTAGGCAGATGGGAGGCAGTCATTAAGAAGGGAGCCTTGCTTTGGGGACCCTACCCCTCATACTGGGTCACCTCACCCAGCCTTAATACATGGGGAGGTGCTTAGTCTTACTGCAACTTGATATGCCCTGTTTTGTTGATACTCCTGAGAAACCCATCCTTTCCTAAACAAAGATGCAGAGCAGTGGATGGGGGGGGGGGGGTGAATACCGGGGGATGGGAACAGAGGGGCGGGAGGGACTGGGAGAAGAGGAGGGAGGAAAATGTAGGGGGGGGGGGGGAACAGAGGGGCGGGAGGGACTGGGAGAAGAGGAGGGAGGAAAATGTACAGCCCAGATATAAAGCACATAGTTAAATATATTTTTTAAATTACTGTGAGTAACAACCTTATCTGTTTATGTATGTTTCTTAATTTCTAGAAAAAAAAA